CATTTTTAATTTTTTGAGGGACCTCCAAACTGTTTTCCATAGTGGCTGCCCCAGTCTGCATTCCCACCAGCAGTGTATGAGGGCTCCCTTTTCTCCACATCCTCTCCAGCACGTGTCATTTATTGATGGTAGCCATTCTGACAGGTATGAAGTGATACCTCATTGTCATTTTAATTTGCATCTCTCTGATGAGTAGTGACCTTGAGCAATTTTTCATATGTCTCTTGGCCATCTGTATGTCCTCTTTGGAGAAGTGTCTATTCAAATCCTTTGCCCATTTTTTAACTGGATTGTTTTTCTTCTTGTTGAGTTGTATGAGTTCTTTGTGCACTTTGGAAATTAGCCCCTCATCAGATGCATCCTTGGCAATATGTTCTCCCATACTGTGGGGTTCCTTCTTTATCTGAGGCCAGAGTTTCCTTTTGAGGTGATGAAATGATCTGGAAACTAGATAGTGGTGATGGTTACACAATATTGTGAATGTGCTAAATGTCACTAATAGTAAATGTTATATGATTATATTTGACCAAATTTAAAGTAAAGGAAAAAACCACATACGATAACATATAACAGTGTTTATATCAGACACTTAAGGAAACACACTAATTGGAAGATCTTTAAAAAATTATTTTATGGTACTATTATCCAGCCTTTAAAATGTGAAGTGTCTCTCAGCTATCCTCAGAAAAGTTTGCTTTTTAATATTGGGTTCTTAGAATTTCTTGTTTGATTTGAAGAGCTTTGATAATGTTGACTGAAAATAGTTTCATTTTCCAAAAGACTTTTTCTCCTTTTATGATCCAAGTCATACATTCCAGTAAGGAACAATAATTGCTTAGTGGAAGTTTCCAAAATAAATAATAATAAGTGGATTATTAATCACATGTCATTAAATATACACATTGCAAATTAATAAGTGCTATCTAAGCCTGGCCAGGCGTGGCTCAGCGGTTGAGCGTCAGCCTAGGGTCCAGGAGATCACGGTTCGTTTCCTGGTCAGGGCACATGCCGGGTTGTGGGCTCGATCCCCAGTCAAGAGCGTGCAGGAGGCAGCCGATCAATGACTCATCATTGATGTTTCTATCTCTCTTTCCCTCTTCCTTCCTCTCTCTGAAATCAATAAAGATGTATTTAAGAAAAAAATAAGTGCTATATGTAAACAAATGGTTATGTTCATTTTAACATACAAATTCAAACAAGTGAGCTCATTCTATGCTGGATATAAATGTTGATATAAATTTTGGTTCATGAATATAAGTAGTAGTAACATGAATATAAGTAGTAGTAACAGAATTTCCAAGTCTCTGTTATCTAAACCAGAAGAAACAGATGATCATATTTCAGAGGGAAGAGGGAAGAGGGAAGAGGGAAGAGGGAAGAGGGAAGAGGGGTGGAGGGTAGGAAGAGATTAACCAAAGAAGTTATATGCATGTATGCATACCCATGGACACAGTCAATAACAGGGTGAAGGCCTGTAGAGGGGGTGGGAGTGAAGTGGAGGGGGTCAATTTGGGGGGGAAATGGGACACCTGTAATACTCTCAACAATAAAGATAAATTTTAAAAAATCTTCATAATTGTAAAATGACTCTGCCCTTTTCTAGAGAATATGTAAACATATGGATAATGAATAAGTCAGGGAGAGTTTTGAAATAACCTTTCTAAGCTTCTAAATAGTTCTTATAAAATGACTTTTTCCCCTGTTGGCTTAGTAACTGAGAACTGAAAAGCACTTTCCCAATGGGCCATTATTTCAGTCAGTGGCCCCAGGCGACCGCCCTCCCTGTGGCTGGGATCATAGAGCAGATGGTACAGGCAACATGGGGGATACTGTGGAGACGACGTTAGGAGCAATTATTCCACCACTGAGTGCTAGTGCTCTGCACTTTGCGATGCATGGTAACCTATGTTGTGCAGTACTTCAGAATTAGAAAATCTTCAAAACGAAACCAGCAAAATCATTGTCAGGGAGTTTGCCCTCTGTCCTTTATTTCTTTGCAGAAAGAAAGTTATTCTTCTGATCATCTTAAAATTAACCAGTATCTCTGATTAGGATTCCTAAAAACAGGAAGAACTTTGAATGACTGCCATTTGGCTGGGAATCCAGGGATGTTTGCCTTAAACGTTCTACCCTCTAGAATGACTGACAAAAAAAAGAATGAGTTGTTCTAGGGACTTCATCAAAAAATGAGAATGATAATGTACTCAAATCCATTCAAAAAGACAAATGTATCTGTTTCCTATTGCTGCTATAGCAAATTGCTACAGATTTGAATTCAGTGGCTTAAAAACAACACAAATGTATATCTCATGATTCTGGAGGTCATTAATATCTCTGTCCTAAGATGTTATGATTCCATATAAGCATCAATGCAACTGCCTTATAAAACTTATGGATGAATTCAAGGACTTCTTTTAAGGTGGTATTATTTTACTATGTCATTTTATTTACCCTTTGCACATTTTCACAAACAATCAGGTTTCAAAAATAATTACTATAATTGGTTGCTGGGTATAAATGGGATACGTTGGCTATAAGGAATCAGCCTTAGAAGTTATTTTTAAAATGCTGAATTTGGCTGTGTGATAGGGAAACTTCTCAGCACAATGTTCATTTGCAAGCAGGTTAAAACCCAAACTGTGAGGAGTGTTAAAACTTAACTTTCTAGGTTTTCAGGAGATGGTTATTTTTGAGTTTTGCTTTGGACCCTGACCCTAAACCAAATACTTAAATGTGTTAGGAAACAAAGATATTTCTGGTTATTGACAGAAAGCACAATGGATGTAGGTTAACATTTGGCCTTGGTAGACAGATGACAGTTGATTTTTTTCTTGTGTGATTTAGAAACAGAAACTGAAGGATACTTGATGTCTTTTTTAGCTCACTCTTAGAGCAAACAGTATTCCCAGGAAATCTGAGATTGTGCTTATAAAGTTTTCACTAAATGAATAACATAAGAATAAAGAGATTGAACCAAATTTTATTACACATACTGAAGCTTAAAAATACTTTTATTTTAGCCTCATAGTGGGGATGGCTACAGAGTGTTATCAATAAATTAGTTACAGCATAAAAATACTTTATATATATATATGTATATACACACACACACACACATATATTTATCTTAACATATATGTTTAATTTATTTATATATATTTAATTTCTTTATATATATATTTAATATATATATATTTATCTTAAGAATCAGTCCAAAAGGAAAGTCTTCGCTAGTCAATTACTTTTTTTCCTGGCAGGTATCACTATAACATGTCTTGCATTATTGTTCTCCTATAGGTAAGGCAGAGAGAAACCGACTTTAGTCTAATCATCAGTTCTTTCGGTGGTGGTTAGGACCCAGGCACAGACAGAGTGGTGAGGGACACAAGCACTGGCCACCATGGAGGCGTGCTTCATGGTACTCTGAACTCTAAGCTAGGAGAGGATGACCTGTCCTTGTCTGGTAGAACCTGGTTTATACATTTCCATTTACAGGTTCTACAGATCCTTATGGCTGGTGAGATTTCCACATTATCATAAGTTTGAGGTAAAGAAGCCAAAGTGAACCCTGCTGCATTGGCACTTTTGAAGATATGTGGGGCACCTAGCAGGCAGGAAATATATTATCTTGTGTGCAACCTCAGTTACAGTTAGAAGATGGAGGGCTCAGTGCACAAAAAGTGATTAAGGGAACATAGGGTTTTGTTACATTCACTACACACTCTGACCTGCCTGCAAGATTAGCCATCTACTTTTTGCTTGTTTACTATTTTCTGAAAACTGATACTTTTGTATTCAAGGAATAAAAAAATAGATAAAAACTGGTGTTCAGTTTCTCTGAATATCTTCAGCCTATTTTCCATGCAAATGAAGCTTTCTAAAAATGTTTATTTACATTTGTTATGCTTGTAATGAAATTTACACGTTTATTTTCTCATTTCAAAAAATCTAAGGAGAAAATTTCTTCTATAATGTTATAGATAATGCTTATATCCATATACTGTGTACAAATACCACACATGCACCCAGCTATCAGTCTTATCATTTTATACATTAGTCTAGAATTTGTGAACAAGAATTTGGCTGAAATTGGTGACTCTTCCCCTTTTTAACTTAACTATGAAAGTCTAATTCAGAAATCTCATTAGGTAAGTCTTCTTCTTTTTTTAATCCTCACCTGAGAATTTTTTTCCCATTGCTTCTTCAGACAGTGGAAGGGAGAGAGAGAGAGAAACATCAATGTGAGAGAGACACACTGACTTGTTGCCTCCTGCACTCACCCCCACCGTGGCCGGAGATCGAGCCTGTAACTGAGGTAGGTGCCTTTGGTCAGAATCCAACCTAGGACCCTTCAGTCCGCAGGCCGACGCTCTAGCCACTGAGCCAAACCAGCCAGGGCTAGCTAACTCTTCTTAAGAATTACTGGTAGCAATGTTCCTTTATTATTCTTTATTATTCCAAAATCATCTGTTATTTTTTCCAAGTCACCTATTTTATGGAATTTACATGCTATATTAAACATAAGAATATGTGTCTTCGTTATCAAAAAGTATATATGGTCATTTTTATAAAAATAGAGAGCTTTCAAGAAAATTTCGCTAAAAGCATTCCAGGTGCTCTTAGATACCTGCTAAAAGAAATGGTTCTAGAAAAGAAATGCAAAGCTGAAAATATTTTACTCCAGGTGTCTAATAGCAATCCAGTGTTTTATTCTGACAAACCAGGAGAGTAAAACTGAATAGGACCACAGAATATAAGCATGATAAAATCATGCGCTTCTGTGGCCTTCTCCTTGGAGGCGTATAGATCACGGGAAACACAGGGAAAGCCTCAGAAATAAACACTCTGGTCAGTAGTAATGACTGATGATTGTGTGGGATGGAAAGCTCACAAGGATGTCAGTGGCTTTTGTTATAATTCAGAGAAGCCCCCCAAATAGCACATAAGATTCTAAACTCTTTAAAGCAGAATTTTTTTCCCCTTTCCTTCTTTCATTGTAGGATTACAGAGTGAATATCTTTCTTCGTCAGAAATGGAATGATCCTCGCCTTGCATATAGTGAATATCCTGATGACTCCTTAGACCTAGACCCTTCCATGTTGGACTCCATTTGGAAACCTGATCTATTTTTTGCCAATGAAAAGGGTGCCAACTTCCACGAAGTTACTACAGACAACAAATTATTAAGAATTTTCAAGAATGGAAATGTCCTTTATTCAATAAGGTGAGTCACAGACTTAAATTCCTGATTTTAGCGAAAAAGTATTTTGTTTTATTTTTAGTGAATGTTTGAAATTTTTGATTAACTGCTTTTATTGTTCCACTTAAATTCCTTTAATATGCCGTTTCCAAATATGTCTAATCAACAGTAGCAGACCCAAGTTTTAGATCCAAAAACTGTATGAATAATTCTTGGAAATCTGCTTTTTAAGCAAGCAACCTCGGTTATTAATCAGCCAGATTGGTGGGTTATTTAAAGGCAAAAGGAGTGGTAGCCGAATCATACATTGTGATTATATTTTTATGTATGCACACTCCTTGTAATATTTATAGGTGATGAAATATTGAGATATGCTTGTCTGAGATCCATTTTTTATAGATTATTTTTTGGGTATATGTATTTTTTTTAGATTTCCTGAGCTTCTCTGACTGTACTTTAGAAAAGATCTTATTTACATTTTAGTCATTTATTCTACATTTCTTAGAAGATTGTGTAGCCTTTTAAAACTAATACCAAAACATAACAATAATTAATACCAAAACACAAACATCATGGTAATATATTGTGTTTTTTATATATTCCTATTTCATGTGAATAAATTTCCTTTCAATACATATATCACTTGCTTTGAGTAACAAGGTGACATCACTCTACTGTGAACTGACACATTCATCAAATTGCTGAAAACTGACTAATATATGTTAATATAATCCTGAATAATTCATTGCTACATAAGACATAAAGGAAGATTTCAGGTCTCATCAGTAACTTAGCCCTGTGCTCCCACATGGATGAATAACTTAATGGTGAATTTCAGGTCTAAACAAGAGAATTTTGAACCTTTTTGGAAAATTACTAAAAAATATAAAAATCAAAAGATAGTGGGAAGATGGAACAGACATATGTTCACTATTCCTTCTGCTAAGTACAACTGAAAACTCTAGACATATGACAAACTTAAGGAAACTCCCCCATGGTAGACATAAGAAAACTAAGGACTTGGAACCTGAGAAACAACATGTGAATTCACATAGTATAATAAAAGACCTAACACTCATGTCATCAGAGTCTCAGATGGAGAGGGAGAACAGGATATAGAGTGAAAAAAAAATTAGAGCAATTAAGGGCTGAAATATTTATAAATTCTACAAAAGGCATAAACCTACAGATTCAAGAAATTGAATCACTCCCAAAGATGTTTATACTAAGTCACATTATAAACAAACTTTTGAAAACTAAATAAAAATTTTGAAAGCATTTGGAGAATAACAACACTTTACCGATACGGAAAAAACAATTAGAGGAATAGTAGGTTTCTCATCAGAAATCATGGAGGCCCGAAAGGATTAACACATTTTTTTTAAGTGCTGAAAGAAAAGAACTGTCATACTAGAATCTTGTACCCAGTGAAAATATCCTTCAGGAATGAAGGGGAAATCACGATATTCTTAAATAAAGGAAAACTAAGAATTTGTCACAAATAGCCCTATCCTAAAAGTCTAACTATGGAGCTTGCTAAACAGAAAGGAAACAATAAAAGAAGGAACACTGGGAAGAGGGTATGGGGGGATAAATAGTGATGGGGGAAAAAAGAAAAAGAAAAGAAGGAACATTGGGACACAAGAAGGTAGAAAGGAAACAGTAAGCAAAAATACGAGTAAATACAATGATAGACTTTTCTTCTCATCTTGAGTTTTCTTCATATTTGACACTTGAAGCAAAAAATTATAACATTGATATAGGGGAGAATGAAAAGCAATAAATAAAACTTAAAAAAAATAAATGTGTTGTCAGAAATTAACATTAAGACATAATATTTAGACGTAATATTAAAACATAATATTTAGTGTTGTCTAATGCCATTTTTGTGGCATATGACTTGATATTAACTCTTTGGAAAGATGGTTTGTTATGATATGTAAAAATATAAAATTCATTTATTCTTCAACTAAGCAATTTACTTCTAGGAATTTACATTACTTACATGTTTATGTACACATAAGATACATTTACAAAGATGTCCACTTCACCACAGAAATGGCAACAGCAACAAAAGTCCCCCAAATATTCATTAATAAGAACAAAGTAGAACATAATGGTAGTCCCACATCATGAAATATTCTGCATGAGATAGACCTAAATTATTTCATAAGAGAAGGCCTCCAAAATATATTTAAGTTCAAGATAAACATTTTATGCTTATTTGTACTTAAAACACTCTATATATGTAAGCATAATATATGTATGTAAAATGTGTATGTAAGAATACACATTTATGTAAATCCATGCAAGAGTTCAGAAGGATGCCCAACAACTGGTAGAAAATAACCAGCTATGGAAATGAGTGGTTGAAATTGGCCAGGAATAAATGTGGCTGCAAAAATATATCACCAGATAGCATGGAATAATCATTTTGCTGTTATAATATCTAGAATATTTCCAATGACAAAATTGAAATACAATGTGTGTGTGTCCTAATGATTATGGATATTTAGTTTTTTATTAAGTTTTACTGGAATTGGAAAATGATGATATCCATTATTAAAGGCTCACATTTCTTCTAATATTTTGAGGAAAATTACAGAATATTGCAGAATTGCATTTTTATCTTTTCAGTATGAATTCAGATGAAATGGGATGATGTCTCTCAGCTCCTAGTTTTTGTTTGCTATATCCTGGCTCACACGATCAAAGGCTAAATTCATTTTTTATGAGTTGTTTTTGGAAATCTCACAGTACTTTGAAATCTTCAATTGGCAAACAGTTTCTTTGTTAACAAAAGTTGTGCTAAAAAAAAATCTCATTCAATTTACAAACGGAGCATCTGTGATGTTTCATGAGAGATCTGGCTTTCCTACTTGTTTAAAGAAAGAAGCAGAATGTCCTGGCAAACCCGACCTATTTAACTTAATCATTTATCTGTACTTTCTCCTTCAACCCATTAAAACAAAGAAATAAACTAAATAAGGAATAAAATGTCATTAACCCACAGAAGGGTGAAAGTGATGGAAAAGAAGACTGTGAAGATGAATGATGACAACATACTTTAGGAAGCTTGAAAATGAATGCACTTGTGAAAACTGACTTAACAGACAGAGATAGCTGAAACCTAAGCCAAAGTGAGGGAACCCAAAAGGAAGAAATAATATCCTCAAACTTTTAGAAATTTGAGGCAACTAGGACTTCAGAAAGTAGGACCTAGAAAAGAGATCAAAGAAAAAGAATCAATTTAAACTCTATAGGAATAGCAGTGAACTTTCTATTCCTAATTTTCTCATCTATATCCTTTAGATGAGAGGCTGCATTTTTTTGCCTCCTGAACTGAGCAGAAAGCAAGACAGAAAACCTCAGAGAGCTTGTGCCAAGAACTTCAGAAGTAGGGACTTCAGGAACAGCTGGATATCTCATGAGGCATCATATCAAGGAAATGAGGATTACATGGGGTACAGTAAATTATGATACCCTTGTTTTCCCTAAAATGCTGAAAGCCAGACAAAAACTTCCTCTAACTGTAGTCAGAAGAATACACCTCTGGAGAAACTAACTCGCCCAACAGAAAAAATATACAGATATTGACAATTGGGGAACCACCAATGAAATATCTGGGCAGCCATGCTATCAATCTACAGATAAGACCATTACTCAATGAACCATCCACTACTAATTGAGCTCCAAATAGTTTTTAGTGCTTTGTTCTTATATGTAAACAGGCATTTGAGGACATCTTATAATATTAACAGGAATAATAAAGAAGCAGACGTCAGAAAAAACATGCAAAGAAAATTAAGAGAAAAGAGAACAAAATTAAAGAAACAAAGAGAAGAATGATTTAAAGGAAAGTGCAGGGAGCAAAAGAGACCATAAAAAATGTCTGGATAGATGAGACAACTGGGTACATGAAATAAGATACTTCTAGGAAAGGAAAAAGGAATCATTCAGAGCATAATAAGATCAAATAGTAACCCAAAGTGTGGGGGGGAAATAGTAGAATACTTGGAATGATGAAGTGAAGAAATCTCCCAAGAAGTAGAATCAAGATACAAAGAAGTAGAAAATAGGAGAGAAATACATGAAAATCAGAACATCAGTACAAGTCCAATATATGACGAGGAAGAAAAACAGAGAGAGAGAGAGAGAGAGAGAGAGAGATTTCTATGTAAAACAAGAAATTGATAAATTACCTGCTGTGTTTGACCTTTGAGAGGGAACTTGTAGCTTTGACAGGGAGTTTACAAAATTTGAAGTAATAGGGAACAAAAACTGAAGTGATTGTTAAAATGAGACAATTATTAACCCCAGGAAAAACAAAATATTGTACAGAAGCTATAATTACAGCAAACTACTAAGCTTAACCATAAACTATATTTACATATTCATAACATGTAAAAACCAAATATTAATTTAACTATAAATGTTCATATAACAAAATTTTGAGTTTAGCTGGAGAGTTCAGTGTAAATGGAATGTGGTATAAAGAGAAATAAATTCTAATTTTCTCTTGTAGGAAATTAATAGACAATTACACACATTTTAAGAACTAAGAATAATATAGCAATTTAGATATATGAACATAAATCTTAGGCAAATATCTAAGGAAAGGCTGCCTCTAAGGAGCTAGAACTGAGAGTGAAGGATGGGTGGGACAAAGGTAAACAACTGTTTTTTTATATGCTTTATACAACTGTTTAAACTTTTAAATGATATATATGAATGATATTGATAATTTTCAAATGAGGTACTTTTTAAGTGAGGGCTTTGGAGCCAGACTCCAGATTGTGAAGTTTGGTATTGATTTTACTTTGCTTATAAAGTTAGCCTATTACTTATTTAATGGGCTGACCGAGGAGGAAAGACTCCTGCGTCATGGACAAAGGAATTTATTAATCACTGCCAGCAAGCAGCACAAGCATCCCCATATTTGCCTTATTTGTCCTTTGTTTTCATGTCTCACTGAAACCATGCAACAGGTCCAGAGGGATATAACACACACACCATGGGTCTGT